AAAGGTATTTACCTATATTTCCCTAATAAAACTGAACTGAACTGAACTGAATGCATTTACATTTCCTTCAAATAAGCTGGAGCAGTGAGTGGCCGTGGTGTTAGCCCACGCACTCCTCGTGCGGCTAATTTCTCGGTCCAGGCAGAACTGTGGAACTTAATATGAAGGCTGAGGTCAGCTTCGTGGCTAAAGCAGTTTACGACTAACGCGACTACCACCGCCTCTCACAAAATTTGCAGCCCAGTAGAACTTGAAAATGAGGTCGTATCCGACTGAATGAGTTGCGACTGCTACTGCTGATTCGTGTTCCTAAATTCGCTTCCAGGGTAATCTGTTCGTTTTTCGAATGCCGACGACTCTTCCTCCACTGTATTAGAAGCGGTAAACGACTCCAGACGCCTGTAGGGTTTTCAGCCCAATGTCTAATGGTTACTAGCGGTCTGTGTGTGTGCAATTCCCAATTTAAAAAGGTGCGATAAGGCCACTAACGGCTTCCGCAGCGTTCTTGACATACGGGAGCACTCGTTAAAACTCGAAACTAAGGAAATCGAGTCCGAACCATCAGGCGTACCAAAGTCTTGTTCCTGTGGGATCGCTTGTGCCACGGCAACACCACGGGCGTAGTAATAACACAAACATACATTAAGATCACAGACTAACCTTCCGAGAGCCGAAGTCCAGCGTGAAGAACTCGGGTCGACATGTGGTCGCGGCAGCTGTTGAACTATAGTTTGCTAAAGACATCAAACAATCGAGTTCGGCGATACATTTAACAACCGTCTGCCAGTCAGCGTGGCTAGAAAAGAATGCAGGGGGTGGAGGGAAGACAAGTTACCAAAACGAGAATGGGCAGTTCACACACACAAAAAAACACTGTGAGCGTAACTCACTTCACAGCAAAGGCAGCAAACAGACGCCGCATGATGCCCTGCATACTCTCCTCCTTGGTATCCTCGGCGACCACCAACTTCGCAAACAGACGCACCACTTCCGGCGGACGGTAGCGTCTGTAGCCCTTGCGCTGGGAAGTTGCCTCCCAGTGGTCGGGAACATTTCGAGCGTGCGTATCGGGAACCTCTATTTGAAAACGGTTCTTCCCTGTACCTATGTAGGTCAGCTGCAAAGGGGTGGGGGGGGAGAATCAGAATCGTTAAACAGTGACGAGCAGACGTATAGTATGACAACTGCGCACAAGTTTGCTCCTTCGAGTTAAGATTTTGCGTGCGACTGTTTTGCTTCGTCTATCGGTACAGATTTTGTACACTCACTTGTATTATACGTTGCATTCCAAAATTGGCGATAACTCCTATTCCGGCCCATAATTAATTAAAATAATTTATGCGAGTTGGTAGGAAAATGGTGTGGTTGTCAGGATCGGCGGGGAGAAGAGAATTGGGGTCAACAATCTGATCACCGTCAGAGAGCAGCCGAGAATGTGGATAAGCTGCAGGCGGTTTAATTGGCGACTTTCGGCCATGGTGACTGCGGCGCCGTTACGACGTTCCTTTGGGCGCATAGGATCGCTTTGCGTAGCCAACAGACGCTGCCCAATAAATTTTGAATAGCTTGAGGGCACATTGTATTTAGTTACTTAGGATATAAATGTACACGCCTGGAGATAATTTATCGAAAGCAAACACACATTCGCCAATTAATCTTTTGAAATACTCAATGAGCATTTTTGCAATTTTAACACGATCTAAAGAAATGTTACATCCTTAAAACTTTATCATAACTACGCGCATGTAAACAAACAAGGAGTTAAAAATGTACACACCTACATCTCCCTGAAATAAACAAAAGCGAACAGGACTGTCAAACAAGCTCCACTTTACCTGAGCACCAATAATCCGGCTTTGTTCGTGCAGGTAGTTGTCTAGCTGTTGTTCAACGTCCTAGAATATACAGAAAGTACAGCAGATGAGAAATGATACTTTTAAAGAGTTGATTTTTAGGCGTCCAGCAGAGGGTTTCAAGCAGACTTGAGTAAACGGGCCTTACTTTACTCACAATTATACAAGCTGACACACTTGAAGCTATCGCGGTACGCTAAAAGCCGTGGCTGGGAAGGTTGCCAACTGACAGGACAGCTCGGAAAGCGTCATCATTATGATTAACTAAAAGTCAAGCTCCAAGGGCTCCTTCTTAATGTGGCCTCTATGGCACTCTGACTCAGCTGGGATAAAAGCTGCCTCTTCCTTATTCGTTGTTTTCTTATTTGCGGTGACCCACAAAGCGTAGGCCTCCCATCTCCACTCTTCTAGACTCTGTCTTGACACCCGGATCAAGGTGCGGGAGTAGAACAGAGAATGAGATAGATGCAGCGCAAGTCTACTCTCACTAAAGTAAAGCGCAAGTCAACGTCCCTGTACCACCCATGCTGTGGAGCACACGGTTGACCTCGTCGAAACCGATGGTCGAACTCTCGAATTACACTAACTGAGATATATTGTGTGAAGCCGCCTGAGTTGCATCACCCGAGAGGCGCAATGTGTCTATTTGGGACATGAATGACTGTGAGTGTCTGGACGCACGCGAGTGTGTGTGACTCCAGGTAGCGCGTGGAGTAGAATGATTTTTTTCGTAAAAGTGGATAAGTGGGTACCATTTTTTATGCATCTAAGCTTTTTCACTCATAAAGGAGTCCACGGTTAGAGATAAAAGTGGCAAAAAGGTATTTTCCGGCAATAATATTTGCTTACTTCCAATTGCTACGCCTGTCGGGGCCTCTGTCGAAATCGAAGGCAGAGCGGGACAGATGAGGTCCGTGAGTTATCAGGTGAACGTTCGTCAATGAATGTCAAAACTCGGTCAATTGATATATCGATCTGCAGCCGACATACAAATCCCGGCGCAGTCGCCTCCGGACTGCTGTTTATGATGTTTGATGCACTGCTGATAGAAGCAAAGAGGCGAATTTCGAGAGAAAGTTCAGAAGAAGAAAATGCGATTGCTGGCGCATGGCGTTTATTGATCTGAGGCTTCGGATTCTCGTACGCCTGACGCCTTCATCACCCTTACCTGCAACTGGCCCTGATGATTGGTTCAAGCAATAATCCGAAACGTCAGGTCAATAAAGGCCAGGCTCCAGGGACCGCATTTTCTTCTGCCAAACTGTATGGTTCTTTGGCGCACATCGAACCATTTTAAACATAAAAATTTGCAGTCCCCCATTGTTTCTTCAATCACACACACTAACAATAATCGGACCATGTACTTGTACTTGTTACGGCTGTGATCATACCTGCTCTAGCCGACCTCAATGATGTCACGAACGGTGCCCCTCCATGCGA